ATATCCCCCCCTTATGTATTATAGATGGAGATCATATCCCCCTTATGTACCTTATTATACATGGAGATCATATCCCCCCCCCTTATGTATTATACATGGAGATCATATCCCCCCTTATGTATTATACATGGAGATCATATCCCCCCCTTATGTATTATACATGGAGATCATATCCCCCTTATGTATTATACATGGAGATCATATCCCCCTTATGTATTATATGTGCAGATCATATCCCCCCTTATGTATTATACATGGAGATCATATATGTATTATACATAGAGATCATACCCCCCCCCTTATGTATTATACATGGAGATCATATCCCCCCTTATGTATTATACATGGAGATCATATCCCCCCTTATGTATTATACATGGAGATCATATCCCCCTTATGTATTATACATGGAGATCATATCCCCCCTTATGTATTATACATGGAGATCATACCCCCCCTTATGTATTATACATGGAGATCATATCCCCCCTTATGTATTATACATGGAGATATATATGAGTGGTGAGGCAGTGATCAGGGAAAATAATAAAAAGAAAAATTCCCAGCTCAACTTACCGACCAACCTGCTACCAATCGTATTGTCCTGTTTAACAGTTTGCATTAACCGGTTCCACGCCACCATATGGCAGAATACTGCTACATGGCGTGCACAAAATCACGTATATACTGTATATGTGATGTTGGACTTCTAGATAGAGAGTGCACGCACGCGCCCTACCCGCACCCCCATTCGAGGCCTCGGCTGTCAGTCACCGGGTCTCCGAACAGTGATTTCTCTCCGGCACCCGGTGATCGGCGAGTATCTCTGACAGGGAAGAGACCTGTGTATATACAACATAGATCTCTCTCCTGTCAGCTCCTTCACACTGCTTTATATGGCTATGCATAGCAGAGCCATACAAAGCAGGGTGCTTACAGTGGAAAGCACAGACACAGCCTCATAGCAAAACAGCACACAGTTAACCCTTTTATCACCACAGATGTTAACCCCTTCCTGCCCAGTGCCATTAGTATAGTGTTAGTGCTTTTTATTAGCACTGATCACTGTATTGGTGTCACTGGGGATGTCGTTGACACCAAGTTAGTTCCCCCCCCAGTGTCAGAATGCCCGCCGCAGTCCCACTATAAGCTGCTGATTGCTGCCATTACTAGTAAAAAAAAAATAAATTCCAGTATATATACCACAATTTATAAACGCTATAACGTTCACATAGAGCAATTCATTTACATGTATTGGGATTTTTTTTGGCAAAGACATGGAGCAGAATACATTTTGGCCTACATTTATGATGAAATTTGATTTTTTTTACTGAATATGTTTTATAGCAAACAGTCAAAAATATAGTTTTTTTTTCTCAAAAGTGTCTTTTTTTTGTTTATAGAGCAAAAAATAAAAAGTGCACAGGTGATCAAATACCACCGAAAGAAAGCTCTATTTGTGGGGGAAAAAGGACATAAATTTAATGTGGGTGCAGCGTTGCAATTGTCAGTTTAACGCAGCGCCTTATCGCCAAAAATGGCCCCGGTCAGGAAGGGGGGTAAGTGGTTAAAAACAGGGGTTTAATTTGCACACATTTACAAATACATGAATAAGCTGCAGAGCATCTTCATGGCAAATATATTCTGCAGTTCCTAACGCAATAGCTTGGAGAGCCTTCACTGTAGCAGCACATGTATCATAATGGAGAGACTGAGGGCAGGTGAGATTGAGGGAGCCCACCCCTCCTTAACCACTTGCCAACCACGCTATAGCCGAGTGATGATGGCTACAGTGCGGTCTTCCAGTTCTGAGAGGGCATATCTCTCTCCTCCATTCATAGAGAGAAAAAAAAACAAGGGGGCTGGGCTGTACAGTGACTGATCACTGTGATAGACCATCAGAGGCTATCACAGCGATCATGTGACCCAGAATCGGGAGTCCGGGGTCCCGATTGTTAGAACGGGACCCGGTGCTCTAAGTGGCACTATAGCCTTTGTGCTGGGAGCACGCCATGCGGTGCGCTCCCAGCAGAAAGACAGGTACGCAAATGTGCAGCCCCACGGAAAAAATCCCAGTTCTGTGAGGCCGCATATTTGTGTTATGTCGGAGTCAAGGGGTTAAGACGTGTAAATTTCAAATTGATGTTCTTTGGTAAAAGAACAGATTCTGTGAAAATCCATCAAATCCCAGGGGGGCATATGGCCTTAATGAGGAACAGATGATTAATTTCCTTGAGGGGAATACTTGGATTGACTCCGACCTCCTTGACCCCCCACCTCCTTCAGGTTTAGCTAACAAATCTTCTTTATTCCCTAGTTTTGGTACAAATAGATATCTCCAATTATTTCTCGAATCAGTGACTGCTGAGATACGAGCAATGGATTGGGATTCAATTGTACTGACAACAGATGATTTGACATCGGGGGGAACGACTAGCCTTTTAGGAAATGGGTAAGTTACCTGGATGGATTGTTAAACCTAAAAGGGGGTAATGTAGTCCTCTGGCAGGAGAAAGATTATGTGGATGAAAAATGTAGTAGTAACCCCTTCCTGGGGCTTGTTGGTGAAATTAATCATTGGATTGATAGAGCATTTGAAGTGAGACTGCTTACTAAAAAAAGAATATCAATACCTCTTGTGGAGGTATATAACATTCCTACTTTTTATGTCACTCCCAAAGTACATCAACAAGCCACCAGGAAGACCTATTGTTTCTGGGGTAGGTAGCCCCTTGGAAAAATGGTTAAATATGTTGACCAGCGAATTAAACAACTTGTGAAGGAACTTCCCTCCTGTGTACTTGACTCTACCAATATTCTTTGCAGGTTTTCTGATCTATCTATTCCAAAGGATTGTATCCTGGCTGGTATAGACATTGAATTCTTTTACTCGTCTATCCCTCATGCGACTGGAATACATGCAGTTTCCCAATGGCTTGATATTTTCAATCCAATGGCAGGTCCCCATAATACATTTCTTGTTGAATTCTCAAATTGATGCTTACCAAGAACTTTTTCATCTTTGATAAGAAGTATTTCTGCCAAATAAGAGGAGTTGCAGTGGGAGCTGCATGTACACCTTCCTATCATGCCTGCATCTAGGATGGTGGGAAAGGGAAAACATTGATGCTGAAGTGGCTTTTGACTTACATGTACTACTATGGGTTTGGTATATCGATGATGTGCTGGTGGTATGGAGAGGTACTGTGGAACAGTTTGAGAATTTAATTGCCAAGCTCAATAGGAATGATACAAATATTTTACTTACATATAAAGTAGATCCTTATCAGATTGAGTTTTTGGACTGGCTAGTAAGCAAGTCTACATCTACATTGACTACAAAAACTTTCAGAAAGCCTACAGCTGATAACAGCCTCCTTCATGCCACTAACCATCACCCCTGGCATTTAATTAGAGGGATCCCCACAAGACAGTTCCTTAGATTTCAGAGGAATTGCTTGAATCCTAGAGAATTTCATGAGGCAACTATCCATCTGGGTATCAAGGTTCTGTCCACGGCAGAAGTTCTGGAAGATCTGCTATTTCTGCCAGTACCCTGCATGGCCGCAGAAGCACACATTAGCCTCAGTTTGGTGTCAGACGGCCTTTATAAGGAGGCTCATCACTTTCCCAAGTTGCTGGATGATCTCTAGCTCCCCGTGCCTTGTTCCTTTTTTCTGTGTTATTGTGATTTCCTGACACCAACTCGACTTGCTCTTGGATCTGTCTACTCTGCTTATCCCTTTGAGGACCAAGGGACGTATTTGTCCCATGTTTTTAATTGCGTGTATCATCTGATTAAGAACTTAAAACTTTTTTTTTTTCGTTTGAGTCAAAATATTAGTACTTATCAACAAACAACAAATGGATCTAGCTTTTTGCCAATTATTTCATGAAATGGCTTAGTTACAGCAACTGAAGTGTACGAACTTTAAAAACAAAAAAAATTGATTCTTTTGGCGTTCCAAAAACTTGCAGTCCTCAAAGGGTTAACACCTGATCTGACCTCAGCTAGGCTTACCGATACTGTCTCTCTCTGTCTCGCTCCTCTGTGTATGACCTCGGCTATCCCATCTGACTATGTCTGCTCTGATTCCCACCTGGTACCTGACCTTGGCTTGAACCGGCTATCCATTAAATTTCTAAATCCCGGAAGGGCTTGCATACCTCATACAGGCGCCATCTCTCTACAGACCTATCTCTGTACATCAGCTGTGCTTTTGGTTGGATCACCAACCAGCACTCCTACAGGCAACCTGTGCAACTTTGGGCCTGACTCCTGCTGTCCCACTCTCAGGGGAGTCTGGAACTTAGCCACAAGGGAAGCCCGCTCTCGATTGGCCTTCATCACCAGGTACGTGACACTGGGTAAGAGATTGAAAGCAAGGGGGTACCCTAACTCTGTAGTTAAGGATGGTAAGCACAAGGCATGGCATCGAAGTAGGGAGGATATCCTGAATAAGTAAGGTGTATGCTCTAAATTCACACAGAATCGTCAAGACAAAATAGGTATTGTTTGTACATATGGTACCCACTGGGATCGATTGCGATCAGTATTGGATAGACATTGGCATATATTATTGCTGGATGGTAGGCTAAAGGAAATTTTAGGCCCCAGACCCAATTTAATTGCCAGGAGAGCCCCAACTATCGGTGATGCCTTGGTCCACAGTGAGTACATTCCCACCAAAAAAACAAACACTACTTTACCTTTTACTAAACCAATAGTGGGCATGTATCTGTGTGGACATTGCAGCATCTGTAAATATGTGGTAAAAACTAAAGTTTTTGGAAATTCGAATAATATCAGACTTTTTGCTTGCCAATAAAAATTTCATTATTTTGTATACCTGCATCTGAATTTTAAATATAATACAGTATATACTGAATATCTAGCAAAAGAAACAACTAAACAGGTTAACATTTATTTCTCTCAGCATTCTTCATACTGGAAAACAGTTCTGTAGTAAAGTATTATTAGACATCTTCTCCAGAGAACAGCCGGAGTTCGTTCTATTGGATGGAAGTTTAGAGGCACATTTAGACTTTTGTATTTCATGTGTCTTATACTGTAAAATATTTTAACCTCCCTGGCGGTATGATTATTTCAGATTTTTTGGTGCTGAAAGAGGTACCATTATTTTGCATAGAAATATGTAGTTTTTTTTATTGTAGGCTGTAATATTTAGGAATAACTCACTGAAATCTGTCCGAACAAGAGTCTAGAAAAACATCCCGGGTATGATAAAATTTGAAACACAAAATCATAAATTATATTTTAATAAATAATCATAAAAAATAATAATATAATAATAATACATTTAATTCAATAATATAATCAAACCAAAAACACTGAAATGTGAAATATAGCGCCAAGTTTCGCACATTGCTAAGCTCAGTCGCAGAATCGTTTTCAGTGTCTGATGAGGAATTTCCCCCACCAATCATTATCACTCAATTCTGCAAGTGGTTCTGATTTACTATCGCTGTTCTCTAGCTGGTCTAAAACCGATTTTGACCTAAAGGGACGCTTTTTGGACACCATGGACGTTTCTCAGTTTCCAGGCAGAAAGAACAGTAAAAATGCAGGCAGGGCGCCGGACAAAGCACTCGGGACAAAATGTATGTGAAATGGGTTGAAACAGCAATGTTTTACTATGTAAAATTAGTTTTGAAAAAAATGACATTTTTTTAAAATTTTAAAATTTTTCACCGCCGGCGGCGCCCGTACGTCCCGACGTCACAGGGACCGGAACACAGAAGCCGGATGCCGGTATTAGCCGGAGGAGATGGCCGGGGACGCTGCAGGGGACACATCGCGGGAGCGAAGGACAAGTGCTGCAGGGACTCCCTATGCAGCGCCGCATGGTAAGCCCGAGTGTAGCTCAGGGGGGGGGTTACCGCTTTTGGTACAGAAACTTTACCCCGAGCTACACTCGGGAATACCACCAGGGAGGTTAATATCCCCGTAGAGTGATTCTAAGCCTTCTGTGTGCCGTTCTCCCGGGACTACCGACACCTGAGCTGAGCCGGCTCTGGAGACACCACAAGACCCACACATGATTACAGTGGTGGGACCGCGCCATTCACAATACAACAAAAGAACAACTAAGTCATCGAAGAACAAACCTGATATTTTATTGGATAAAAGTTTCTGCCAGATTCAGACACTTAATTTACTGATCACTTACTGATCACCATCTGCTTTCCAATACATATTGTCATTATACAGGTGTTGCCTTGTCTCCTTCACTTTAACTATTCATTCACCCATTTAGTTTAGATGAATAGCAATGAAATACAACAGAATAAATAAAATAACAGTAAAAGCAATATCATTGTTATTATTATTATTTATTTATTTATTTTTTAATAACAAGCACTATGCATTTCATTGATACAATTGTATAGTGACGTTTCATATGTACATTGCAGCCCTAGTTTGCTATCGGTATTGAACAGTCAGATATTGATGCTTTTGGACTTTTTTCCTGTTTAACCACTTGCCCCCCGGAGGATTTACCCCCCTTAATGACCCGCCTCTTTTTGCCACTCGACGCTGCACTAATTCAAGTGATAATTGCACGGTCATGCAACGCTGCACCCAAACAAAATTTACGTCCTTTTTTTCACACAAATAGAGCTTTCTTTCGGTGGTATTTGATCACCTGTGCGCTTTTTATTTTTCACGCTATAAACAAAAAAAAACCTAAAATTTTGAGGAAAAACGATATTTTTTACTTTACTCTATTGGACGTATATATTGGTATTAAATTCTTGCTATTTTTAAGGCTAATAGACTAGTTATTGTCACAAAGGTCACCCCCATGAGGTACATGTACCAATGCAAAAAAAATATTAGGAGTCTTCTCATCCATGTAAGGGTCTTCTCATCCAGCTTCGAGTGCTTACTGGAAAAGCACAAATTCTTTAAATGCCGTGCTTGGGGGATGCCGAAAAGCTGTACGTAGTCTTATGAAACAGTACATTGTTCGGTCTCAGTAATCTCAGAAATTGCACACACTGGCAATGCATTTTTGACTATGGAATTTTTTTCTTGGTTAGCTTGGTTTATACACAGTAGTTTCCCTAAGGGAACATGGAGTTCATCCATCCAGACCCTTACCCAGACATGAAATCCTGGGTGGCCAGGAAAAGGGAAACAGGAATGCAGCCCCCCACTTCCTATATCAGACCAGGTCACCTGCCTTTAAACTTTTGGAGAAATTGCAAGCGATGGGAACAAAGTCTTCCCCTTGCAAAGTACCCTTTTCCTAATGTTGAGGAACAAGGACCTCCACCCTACCTCCAATGCCCGAGAAGAATTAGGAATTTTTATGGTGTCTAGATTTTAGAATGGATAGTTTAATGGATGAGTTTATGTGAAATCTCCAATAACATGTAAATAATGTTGTAATTGGGAATATATTTTAGTTAGATAGGAATATTGAGTGTTTCTCCATTATACCACTTCTAGTGTCCCAATTGGTGTTACTGTGAAAATGTTTTCTACTTCATTGCTTTTCCTTATCACAGGTGATCAAATACCACCAAAAGAACGCTCTATTTATGGGAAAAAAAGGATGTAAATTTCATTTGGGTGCTCCCTGCAAAGTACTTTCCTTTTTTGAAAGGCCTCTCTCTCTAGGGCAGCGGTCCCCAATAATTTGGGCATCGGGAACTAGTTTAGTGAAAGTCAATTTTTTCCATGGATCGGTGGGAGCGATATGACCTGCCACCACATGCAGTCACTTGCCACTCACTCCTTAGGTTTACACTCCTATGAGAATCTAATACCATTGCTGGACTGACAGGAGACGGAGCTCAGGCAGTAATGCAAGTGGCTGAGAGGGCTTATTCACACAGTGTGCGATGACAGATGTGTTACTGCATTGTATACCATCTGTCACTGCAAGGACATACATGTACCACTCACAATGCAGTGCAGTCTATGGCTGAGCTGCAGTGTGCTGTGATAAACTGAAGATATGTTGTATTTTATCACCGTGCACCATGTTGAATCGCATGGCAATGTACAACAGCACAGAGTATTGTGCTGCTTTGAATTGCCATGAATCAAGGGCACTGTACATTTTATACACTTCAAATAAAGTTTTATACAAAACCAAAAAAAAAAGGGAGCTGAATCGTGCACCACACTAACCCCTATCCAGGGGCGAACTGACAACTCATGGGGCCCCCGGGCAATAGGGGATCATGGGGCCCCTGTGTCCTTGCCCAAATTCAAAAAAGCCTATGAAAAAGGTACCAGGGGCATCTCATGGAGCCCCCTACTGACCCCGGGCCCTCGGGCAGTGCCTGAGTTTCCAAATGGTCAGTCCCACCCTGCCCCTATCACAGCCAGGAAAGGACAGTTGCCAGAATGGTAAAGTGCATGAGATTACATATCAAGCCTCCTGCTGTGTGGTCTGGCTCTTAGCAGGCCATGGAACGGTACCAGTTCATGGCCCCGGTGGTTTGAGCACCTCTGCTCTAGGGACCAGTTTTAGATCAGGTAGTCCCTCCAAAATGGAGAGAAAGGGACATGGTATTTTACACTTTCCCCTGCATATTTCTCAGTACCTTCGTTGTCAGTTTCATATATATGATGGAGTCTGACTGAAGAAGTCAGTCCTTTCAACTTAGTCCTCTGATTCTAATGGAGGAACATCAGTATATTGTGCTTCTTGTAACCCATCATCCTGCTATGACTGAGTAATCATCTTCTCTCAGATGGAATTAGATCCTATGTCTAAACCCCTTCTTGTGCTGATGTCTTTTAATTCCTCAATAGATCCCTTGCTTTTGATCAAAGTCGTCTATTTCCAACTTCTTATTAACATCCTTTTTAGTAGCTTTAGCAGGGTAACATTCTGTATACCTCTATACCAAGCCTGATTCCATAACTTCTAATGAGATTGTTCTATTTATCAGTCAATATAGGCTGTTTGAATTCTATTGGGCTTTCCTGGGAGACTTTTTATATAAAGAGACTCCATATGGAGGATGATATTCATCATCATCAGGTATTATACTCTCATCAGGCCAGGTATAAAATATAGTTGCTCTAGTTGGATTAAACATTTCAGGAAGTCCCATTCCTGACATACATTTATTCTCTCTGAGCCATGTCTATGCTTGCTGCCAACAAGGGGTGGACTGACAACTCATGGGGTCCCGGGCAATAGGGGATCATGGGGTCCCTGTGTCCTTGCCCAAACTCAAAAAAGCCTATGAAAAAGGTACCAGAGGCATCTCATGGGGCCCCTACTGACCCCGGGCCCTCAGGCAGTGCCCAAGTTTCCAAATCCGGTCAGTCCGACATACATTTATTCCCCTGCTGCTGCCAACTTCCATCACTAACTAGCTTTGGCCCATAATTTTGAATAAACTGTTCCCACTGTTGAATACAAAAAGATCCCTCTGTCTTTTTGGGGTCAGCCTCCTTCTAAGTCAATGTTACCCATTTAGAAAGAAGTTTGCAACACACAGAACCATGCAGTGCTTCCATATATGCAGCTGTGGTCATCTGCCCCATATTGGGACTAATCTTACAGGTTCCCTGATCTTCAGGATTATCCCAGGCAAGCCTATTCTTCATATTTTGGACTGGCCAGTCACTTTATCTTCTTTTATTCTCAAATATTGAAACCTACTCCTACAACTGGGGGCAAAGTGTACCTTCCTTTTTCTACCCAACACCAAAGACTTAAAAATAACAACAATTTTGTAATAACAGCTTCAATAAATTCCTCAAAGCCATTGCAACAGTTTCTGCAAAAAACAACATGTCCAAATCATCACCAATCACACTATCTGAAGTGGAACCTTCTGTTCTTAAACTACTTTGGAGTCCCTCTCCAATGTTTGAATTAGTCCTGTTCCATCTTTACGTTCACCAAGTGCAATGCAAAAATGCCGTGGTGTTAAACCTAAAGCACGCCTGGAGGCACCATGCTTCTCTGTCTGGCGCACAGTAATTTTTTAAGTCTAGTAGTTTTTTCCTTAGGACAGTGACAATTAGTTAGCTTAGAAAGAAGTTTGCAACACACAGAACCATGCCGTGCTTCCATATATGTAGCTGTGGTCATCTTAAGCCTTCCTTAAAGCCATTGCAACAGTTTCTGCAAAAAAACAACATGTCCAGGATCATCACCAATCACACTATCAACTGAAGTGGAACCTTCTGTTCTTAAACTCTCATGTACTTCATTCAGACTTTAATTTTTTTAATTTTGAGTCCATTCATCAGTTACTTCAATAACAGAGCGACTTACACACTCTCCCATGCATTCACAATCACACAGCAACTCGCTTAGCACTTGCCACTTGTCCCGTCCGAGCTTCATGGAATGGGTTTTCATGGCCAAGCAGCTGCATCCAAGCTTTACATCACCAAGTGCAATGCAAAGCATCAGATGCCGTGGTGTAAAGCACGCCGCCACTGGATTCTAGAGCAGTGGAGATGTGTTCTCTAGAGCTGGAGTGACCAATCATGCTTCTCTGTCTGGCATTCCGATGGGTGTGTCTGGGTTTGGCGGTTGCCAGGAGAACGGTACTTGCTTAACTGCTTTGTGTCAAGTGTAAAGTCTGGTGGAGGGGGGTTAGGGTGTGGGACTGTTTTTCTGGGGTTGGGCTTGGCCCCTTAGTTCTAGGGAAGGGAACTCTTAAGGCAATATTTTGGAGAATTTCATGCTCCAAACTTTGTGGGAACAGTTTGGGAACAGGTTGGGGATGACCCCTTCCTGTTCCAACATGACTGCGCACCAGTGCGCAAAGCAAGGTCCATAAAGACATGGAGGAGTGAATTTGGGTGGAGGAACTTGACTGGCCTCAATTTGATAGAACACCTTTGGGATGAATGAGAGTGGAAACTGGGAGCCAGGCCTCCTCTCCCCCGACATCAGTGCCTGACCTG